CGCTCTGCCTCTCTCGCGCCGCAACGGAGCGCCCCGTGAGTGCGACAGGGACAAAGCAGCGAACGCTCTGCTCGGGTTTTGGGCCCGCGCTGCCGCGGCCTGCTGTGGATTATTTCCATTAAAAAGGCCCCCCCATGTTTTTCCCCGCGCGCCGCGCCTCGCCAGCGGAAATAAAATATTGGGCCACGTAATGACTTGAATACAGTGGTGCGGTGTTGGAAACCCGGGGCCCCCCAGCCAGAACAAACACAGAAACCGTGTTGTCTCCAACGGGTTGGGGCTCGTGTGAGTCAATCACAGTCCCGTGCAGCCCTTTTGAACGCGCTCCGCGCTAGCGGGCCCGGGACAACCTGTTGAAACATTTATTTCGCGTTTTTTTCCTGCAAAGGTCGGAGGGAAAACGGCGTGAGCGTTGGCGAGCCGGGCCCTGATTTTCGCCAATCCCAGGCAGCCCGGGGGGGCCCTACAAAGCGAGTGGACTAATATTTATACACGCAGCGTTTAAATAATAAAATTGGACTTTATTACAAAGCAGCGTGCACATAACAGAAAAAAATTATTGACACGCAGGAAATTTTTTCCCCCCAGACGTCCACCGACGGTGGCCATGTGGGACAAAATGTTCCTGCGTGCAAATAATATTTTGGCTTTTTTTTAAACGCTGCGTGTCTCCAAGGCACCAAAAAATTATTGGCACGCAGGATGTAAAAAGTCTTCCGACCGGCGACTGAGTCCGGCATGGCGGCTTGGGGGTGGGGTGGGGCCGTGCTTGCACGGGAATTTTTGGCCCCGGGGTTTAAGACTTGCCTTCTTCTCAAAAAATTTCTGGCGTGTCAATAATGAAAAACCCGAGTTGTTTCAACGCTGCGTGTTTATAATAAATTCACAAGTTATTTACACGCAGCGTGTCTGCAATTCGAGTTTTATTATTTTCACGCAGGAAAAATTTTGCTGCGTGCAAATAATATTTTGGCTTTTATTTAAACGCTGCGTGTCTCCAAGACACCAAAAATTATTGGCACGCAGGATTGTAAAAAGTCTTCCGACCGGGGACTGAGTCCGGCATGGCGGCTTGGTGGATGAGTGGGTCCGTCCATGTATGGGAATTTTTTGGCCCTGGTTCGAGACTTCGCCTTTTTCTCAAAAAATTTCTGCGTGTAAATAATAAAACTGGGTCTTGCAGACACGCTGCGTGTAAATTACATGTGAATTTATTATAAACACGCAGCGTTGAAACAATACCGGTTTTCATTATTGACACGCAGAATTTTTTTTTGAGAAAAAGACGAAGTCTCGAACCCGGGCCAAAAAATTTCCGTACATGGACGGACCCACTCATCCACCAAGCCGCCATGCCGGACTCAGTCGCCGGTCGGAAGACTTTTTACAATCCTGCGTGCCAATAATTTTTTGGTGTCTTGGAGACACGCAGCGTTTAAATAAAAGCCAAAATATTATTTACACGCAGCAAAACTTTTCCTGCGTGTAAATAATAAAACTCAATTGCAGACACGCTGCGTGTAAATAGCATGTAAATTTTTATTATAAACCGCAGCGTTGAAACAACACCGGTTTTCATTATTAACACGCAAAAATTTTTTTTGAGAAAAGGCAAGTCTTGAACCCGGGCCAAAAATTCCCGTGCAAGCACGGACCCACTCACCCCCCAAACCGCCATGCCGGACTCAGTCGCCGGTCGGAAGATTTTTACAATCCTGCGTGCCAATAATTTTTGGTGTCTTGGAGACACGCAGCGTTTAAATAAAAGCCAAAATATTATTTACCGCAGCAAAACTTTTCCTGCGTGTAAATAAAAAAACTCGAATTGCAGACACGCGCGTGTAAATAGCATGTAAATTTTATTAAAAACACGCAGCGTTGAAAAACACCGGTTTTCATTTTTAACACGCAGAAATTTTTTGAGAAGAAGGCAAGTCTTGAACCCCCAAAAATTCCCGTGCAAGCACGGACCCACTCACCCACCAAGCCGCCATGCCGGACTCATTTCGCCGGTCGGAAGACTTTTTACAATCCTGCGTGCCAAAAATTTTTTTGGGGTCCCTTTGGGAACACGCAGCGTTTAAATAAAGCCAAAATATTATTTACACGCAGAAAAACTTTTCCTGCTGTAAATAAAAAAACTGGGCCTTGGAGACACGCTGCGTAAAAATAGATGTATATATTTTTTAAATACACGCTGCGTGTATATAAGCCCCATTTTTATTATTTAAACGCTGCGTGTCTATAATGACTCCGAAGCGAGTGACACAGTCAGGGGGGGTCCACAAAGGTAAGAAGGGGGATCGTGTCTTTTTCCCAAAAGCGGACCCGGGGTGGGCGCTGCGTCCGGAGCCAAACCGTCCACGGCGTCCTCGGCGGCCACGCGCCATCAAACGCCGTTACTTTACTTTCCCAGCGCCGTGGAAAGCGACGCTGGCGACCAAAATAAAGCCTTCTATTATTCACCGTCGCCGTCCCAAAACCCCCCGGCCCGCGCGGCAAGGGGAAATGCCGGCCAAAGTTGGTTGGACCAACTGCCGCCAACCAAAAGTTTTTTTTTTTAAATTCAAGGGTTTCGTTTTTTAAATTTGGGAACGGCGTGCCTTCGGAGTGCCATGCATGAGCCAAAATTTTTTCAAAATTGATTACGAATGCATTCAGTCCTGTGTGTGTCGCTTGTCAAGCGTGGATCCAAAACAAAAGGAATGGGGCGCAACTGCCACCCTTTCCCTTTACACCGAGGTAGCCCCTGAAAGGTACCTAAAAGGGTTTAAAAATTCCCACTTTGCTCCCTTCACCTTTCGACCGGCCCTGGATCCACAATTCTCACTTGTTTGGCAAGGGGCTCCCAAATTATGAAGACAGGCAAAGTTTTCGAGTTTTTTTTTTTTTTTTTTTTTATATTCGGCAACCCAGGGCTTTCCCATCCCGGCAACCGTCACCATTGTACTTGACGCGCGGCACTGCGCGTCTCGCAGTAACCATTGTAAGATCAAAACCCCGCCCGGACAAAGCCCCCCAATCTTTGGACCGCAGCGTGGCGCCGCGTCGCGTGGCGCAGCATCGTCGTGGCCACCCCACCCCGTAACATAATCTCCTGCCGCGTAATCACGATAATAAAGGAGCCCCCCGTGGGGTGCCCCGCCTCACCCCGCCCCGCCTCACCCCGCCCCGCCTCACCCCGCCCCGCCTCACCCCGCCCCGCCTCACCGCCACGCCTCACCCCGCCCCGCCTCACCCCGCCCCCCCCTCACCCCGCCCCGCAACGCCGCCGTCTTGCAGGACATCACGAGGTCCTGCACCCCAGGACCAGTGACCCGGCGCGGCGGTGGGGCGCACCCAAACGGTATCGTTATCCGCGCTGCCTCCTTTGAGGGCCAGCAGGCTGATTCCGCCCGCGTCTCTCTCGCACCCACGGGCCGCCCCCACGAGTGTGACGAGGCCGCTGGCCGGAATCGCGCTGCTGCCGGTAATGGCTGCTGTGTGGCGAGACGAGCACGGCGTCAGCCCCCCTGCAACGTCGAAAATGGTTCCGCCCCCCGCGACGTCGAGGAGGGCCGGGAAAAGCAGGGGAACAAACTGGCATGAGGCGTGAGGAGGACGCTCGCGGCCGTTGGAGCAGCCATTGGGCGTCGTTAGGAGCGTGGACGACCTCGTCAGGCATCAGCGGCACCGCGCCTGCAGCACCATTCAGCCAAGTTCTTCAATGGACCGTTCGTTATCCACGACCAATCCGTAAAGTCGCCCCAAAAGGAGGAGAACTCGCGAGTGCCCGCTCTTTTCATTAACTTTGCCCTCTGCAGCGAGCGGCACTCGGACGGGGCGCGACCGGTGCAGCGCCGAGAGCCTCAGAGAGCCCGGGACGGTCGGACCATCCGGAGGCAGCTCTCTGTCTCTCTCGCACTCCGACGGGCCCCCAGGGGTGCGACAAGGACAGGGCGACCCTGCAGGAAGGGCCGCCAATAAGCCGCGCTGAATGGCCGAGCCGGCAGGCCGGTGAATCGCGATTCGAGGAAGAATGGACCGGGGGAAACTCACGCCCCCTCGCCGCCCCCAAGCCCCGCCAGTCGCCGGCAGTCACTAACTTACCAAACATTCAGGAACTTCAGTTTGCCCTGTCTCGCAAACGGTGGCCGTTATAACAAGTATCCTGCAGTGGAAATGAAAAATTCCTTTTGCTTCTGATTCTTTGACATCTTTTACGTACGTTCTCCTTGTAACAAAAAAATCGTTTCTGAAAATGCACTAAAAACCGTGGAATTTTGAGTGAGTTAACACTTGCTATTTGCGCTGAGCGCGCTGAGCGATGACGTCCCTTCTCATTACGTCCGAGTCCCGCGCGGAAACGAAACGGGACACCCTTCAGTAATTACATGAAAAATAGGAGGTGTCCCTTAATGCGGCTCGGAAGGCAAGTTGGAGGCGACTGCCGCGTCGCCGCGCCGGAAGGAGCGCGTCAAAATTGCGCCTCGGAGCACTCTTTCGAATCAAGCGGTGCGGGGGAGGGGGGGAGAGAAGAGTGGTGGCTGCGCTTCTCTACGGCAAGCACCGTTACAACAGTGTCGGAGTGTTTGCAACGCACTACGCGAGCAAATAACGACATGCAGTGTAGTCGAGGGGGAAACAACTGGCCAAAAAAGTGTACACCAAAAATTTAAATGTAAAAAAATTTCAAAAATTTTGAAAAATTTTGAAAAATTTTGAAAAAATTTGGAAAATTTTGAAAAATTTTTGAAATTTTGAGAAATTTTGAAAAAATTTGACAAATTTGCACAAATTTCAAATTTTTTCAAATTTTTCAAAAAATTTGACAAATGTCGAAAAATTTGCAAAAATTTGCCATTTTTTAAAAAAATTTGCAAAAATTTGCCATTTTTTAAAAAAATTTGCAAAAATTTGCCATTTTTATAAAGAAATTTCACATTTTTTTGAAAAATTTTAGTTCTTTTAGCTATTTGAGGACAACATCGCATTCATTTGTTGTTGCATACAGTAGTGTAAGCACCTAGAGTCCTTGAGTGTCACCAAGCACCAAGTTTGCTCGAGGTGGTGTTTGCCTCTCTTTGGAATTTTTCATAATACAAGTGTATGAAAAACTCAGAAGACTTGTTGTTTGAATGTGAATGATGTTCGTGAGCAGACGAAGAGACTCTTGGACAACAAGGAGATTGTATTTTTCTTGGGATTTTACAAAGAAAAACTGTTTGAATGCAAGGGAAGTGTTTTGTGTCCCTTTTGAAATCTTTGTTGATTGGCTTGATTCCAATTTTTAAAATGTTTTCTTATGAAATTTCCAGGCCTGGCTCTAATATTAGTGTGAAATAAGTAAAATTGTGCATCCTGGGCAAAGCCAAAGAAAGTGGTCAGGTTAAAACCACCTGGTGAAACAAGACATATCATTTCATTGATTCGTAAGTGATGGCATTATATTTTATCTTGTTGCTTTTGCCTCGTTTTGCTAACCTCCGATGGTAATGTCTGGGGAGACTTTTCAATAAGAGACGCTTTTGTGGAATGAAAACATATTACACTCTATATATAAAAAATTATATTATAATACTCATTACAAGATCTTTTCTGACTTTGTTACCCTTGTTGTCTTCTTCATCAAACTATAAACCTACTGGGGTTGGCCCTTAAAATGAATTTAAATGAAATCACAAAAATATTTATGACAATTTATGTTGTCTCTTCATAGAATTTAATTTCCTCCATAAAGAGGCTGCACTTGGCTCAGATGCTTGTTGCTTCCAGCAACCATTAGGAATATGAGCTGGCGGTCCTCCCATTGGTGATGGGTACACAGAAATTTGCATTTTGGACAAATGCGTGGCAACCCAAGACTGAAATAAAAATACACATTTTAAGAGTATTCCTTTGTCATTGTAACAAGTCTTTAATTAGAAACTACCTACTTCTTTTTTTTTTACAAGAGCTACACATTTAAGTTCCTTTCCCTTATTGTTCCTTGCTCAATTTTTGGTTTTCTTTTGGCCTCCTGTAGATAGAAAAGAATTTATTAAAGACAGTTTCAGAAAGTTCTGAGACCAACTCTGTATTTATAATCAGTCATGGCTTCCTAATAACTTTCTTATTTTAGTTTCTTTTGTGCCTCTGCAATAGCTTGATGCTAAGTTAATGCTCTGGAAAATATGTTTCAGGATACGGAGTCAGGGTTAGCAAGAGTTTTACCTGTGGAAAATTGTGTGGAGGTGGCGCACTACCAGTCTGCTTAGCTAGCTGCTTCCTTGCGGGAACCTCTCTGCTGGTGCAAAGTACGTTATGCTGCAAGAAAAACACTTGGTGAGTTCCTTTTTAATACAATTTTCTTTTTATATGTATAGGCAAAGACACTGTAGTTTATAATGATAATTATCAAATGACATGAAATTTGTCTCTAAATAAGTAAATGTGCCTCTACAACCATCACCCATCATTTTTAACTTTTGAGTACTTTTGGATGAGCGTTATCAAGGAATAAAAACAGTGGTCTTCAACCTGGTAAGTCCATGCAGCACAGCAAGGTTTACAGAAGCGAAGAAATATTGCTATTAGTCTATAACTTGAAAAGTATGGCATGGAAATGAAACAGCGGTGACTACTATTTTGTCTTCTTAAGTGGTTTTCTTTGTTACAGCTCTATGCCATACTGTTTAAGTTATAGACATATAGTGATGCTGCAAATCTTGCTGTACCGCATGAGCCAGACGGGTATTTTCATTCCTTGAGAACACTCCTCCAAAAGTCCTTGAAAGTAAAATGATGAGTGATGAGTTCGATGTAGTAACTCTGTAACAAACATGCACACGAACCACATCAGAGCGAGACAGATGTGAGTGGACAATGGGACTGGCAGCAGACTACGTCTCCTCACCAGCATCCCCAATTACAAGTTCATGAGTCTGTTTATTTCCTTCCGAGCCAGAAAATAAAAAGATTTCCATACCTTTTGTCCTAACTTTTATTCTCTGCGTTTGTTTGCAGCTCACCTTCAAATTCTTCATTGGGATTAAATTCAGGACTGCAAAATTACAGATAAATGTGAGTTGGTTTCTATTGTTTTATATCATTGCACTGCACTGTGCCTGTGTTTCATGTGTTAACCATTCTTACCTTGTTTTGTTACACCAGCTTAAACTCCATCTTTGGCCTGCTTCAAACGAATATGATGAATTGGACTTGGAGTCAGTGTCTGGATCATTCGTCAAGGATTGACATCTTTCGCTAGGTGTTGAAGTTTCTAGAGCTGATTGAAGATTGATAAATCATTAGTTTCTCTTCATCAAAACAGTCACTTTAAGTTACAGAAAAGGCTTGTAAATAACTCACGCAAGAACTTTTCTGGTGGCTCTTCCATGTCACAATCGTTTGTTGTTGTTGCTGCTCCTAACAATCCTCTTATCCTGTAAAGTAAATTTTGTATTGGTTAAGTTATTGCTACAGTTGAATCACAAGCAGAATCATTAGCAGCATTAGGCTACAACTAATAATTGATGATTCTAATCTTATTGATTTAACACCCTATTTTTCAATCAAAATGAAGACTCTTAGTAGATTTGAAGTGTGAACAGATTCAGAATAGATTTATACTTTTACTGCACAGTCATTATTGTAAGTGTGTTTTTATAAAAAGAAGTGTGGTGATTACAAAATAAAATTGGCACTGTCTTGTGGCAGCATCGGCAGGATTATAGATGCCTTGTGTCTTGTACCGTCGTGTAAACAAAATAAATTTTGAATGAAAGATAACCTCTTTCAATAGTAATGATCTCAACGCTCTCTTCCCATGCCAAACTATCCCTGCCTTCAATATAGGAATACTTACACATTCTCAACAAACAGAAGTCCGTGCCTTTCTGCATGAAGACGCTTGCAAATAGGGTCTTGAAATTCTTTTTCAGACAAAGGTTGTTCCGTGTAAGGAGTTTCTAATAAAGCCCGAACCCTGGGAAAAAAAAACAGACACTTATTCCAAACTATTCGTCTAGTACAACCCCACAGCTTTACTATTTCAAACTATTTCAAAGGCCTGTGATAAAAGAGCCCACTTGCACACACAATGACATTTTTGTTACTTCAGTATTAACTTACGACTCGTGCTTATTCTTTAGATAATTAATCTGTGCTCGAAGTTTTCTCTCGAGTTTTCTACACCGATCGTTACAAGAGAGATCATCCATGATCTTCTTTTCTAGCACTTGCAAGACGCTGAACGCGCGACGTTCTGAAGCTCCTTTTCTGCTTGTAGCAGGATAACCCGAACGCAGCCCAGCGGTCAATGACCCATGCGCAACAGTGCATCCCCTTCCCCACCTCCCCCCCCCCCCACTTGACCCGCGAACCCCCGCGAAGCTAGGGCACAACAATCCGCGAGACTGCAGTTGTCTAACGGTCACAGTTTATCGCAGCTAGTTCCAGAGCTCAGAATTCCTGATCTTGCTGTCAATTTCCCGGTATCCATTAAAAAAATTGTAGACTAGGTCCTCTAAAGGGGAAAGTGCATCAAGATGACGGAGACGGGGTCAGCGGGCGAAGCACAGGTGAGTGCATTCAAATCTATGTGTAGCGTCCATGACAGCCGAATCGATTCAACTTTCTCTCCTCTTTTGAAGAAGAGATGCAGTGAAGAATTATGTGGGATTTTGCGATGCTTCCCGTTTTACCCTACACAGTGCATCGGCACCGTCAGGTGCGCCGGTTGGTAGGCCACACTTCGTGCTTGACCTTGACCGAAGCCTTGACCTAGCCTTTAGTTCACGGTCAGATCGTGGTTGATGCTGCAGCCAGCCGGTCCCCGTACCTTTGGAGCTGACATGAAAAGTCATTGCATGTCCATTCTAACCGATTCTAACAAAGGGGGTTTAAGAAAAACAAATTATAAATATTAATTACTATTCAAAATTATTTGTTTTATTTTCATAAATATACAAACATACAAGTATGTGCAAGATATGCACCAAATACAACTGCATGAAAGTTTCAAGTTAACACTGCTAAATTTCATAAACAAAGATACATCAAACTCTTAAATTTAATTTAAAGTACTTTATATTGAAAGAACTGGACCAACGGTTTGATCCCTCGTCCAAAATGTATCTCTTAAGCTTACTTTTTACTTCCATCATCACGTTTTCCTATTCAAGCTGTACGGCACATTGCGATTACTATATGGCCACACTTTTTGCTTGTATCACTGCGGAGCGACAATAACTTAAGCATGAAGGTAAATTTGGTGACGCATAGTTGGATGAGTTGATTGCAGACGCAATTTTGCATTTTCCCGTCATCTACAATTACTTCAAAACAAACAAATCTAACAAATCTAAACTGTGGGGTCTCAGTTCCTACTAAAGTATGTCATCTTAAAACAACCACTGTCTTAATTAATTTATTTTTTTGTTTTGTTTTGTTTTAGGCTGGTGCTTTATCAAAAGAGTGTTTGGAATGGTGGAAGGAGATGGAGGAAGTCCTTGGTTGTAAAGCGCCTCAAAAAGTTAAAGAAGCATTGGATGAATTTGGCTACAACAATCATATTTCAATGAGTAAGATGACAAAAGAGGACATTGATGAGATGAAGGAAATATCGAAGCAGAAAATACCACCCGTCCTGCTGGCATCTGGACACATCCATCTCATCGAAGGGCTGATAAAAGCTAGTCAGAAATGTCTGGATAAGCCAAAGATGTTCAGAAAATCTGGTGGAAGACAAATGCAAAACCAAGACTTATCTCAACAAGCTTCAGGCTCAAACAATACAGGTAGGATTCACAGGAAATAATAAAATAAGCTCCACTGCAGGTGCTCCTACAGACAACTCATCGCCTATCATCGATCATTTCTTGAAAAATGATCGGTGATGAGTGTTGAGTTGGTTGAAGTGGCAGCTTGAAGAAGTTCATTAGCTAGAATTGAGAAATGTATCTGTATACCAATGCAAAGGTAGCATAGCTGATCTAGCTGATTAACTATTTCAGGAAATTGGAAATACATTTGGTAAACTTAGCCACTAAAATATATGATGGTATTTTTTAAAAAATTTCCTTTCTTTCAGGAAACCTTAATGAAGCTGAGAAGATAAAGATCATGGAGCTACATCTGACTCAATTAAGAAAACTTATAAGAAGTGGCCTGGAGACCGCCAAAAAAGAACTCTGTCCAGAAGCTTACTCGAAAGCCAAAGCAGACATTAATGTGGATGTTGACGAAGGTTTCCAAAAAGCTTTTGCAGAATGTCCTATTTGTGACGAGAAGAAATTAACCCTTAACCGGACAGGAAATACTTGGGTGGTATCAAACTTTATAACTCACTTTAGAAAAATGCATGAAAGTGAAGAGATTAAGAAGGCAAAGGAAGAGCAACAGAGCCAAAAGAAAAGACACACAATTACAGTCCAAGCTATGTTTGCAAAGAAGGCAAAGTCCAACTCCTCATCTTCAATGGATACAAGCGACGCTGATGATGACCTCACCCTCATTGATACAGAGTCAGGGGAAAAAAGCACAGAGGTATAAGGAAGAAACAGATTTGAAACCTAATGCATTTTTGAAAAACATTTTAACTTAAGAGAAGTAAAACTAGCTAGCTTCATTTGTTTTTGAATGAATTTTCTTGGAGATTGACTGTTTGACTTGCAGTTTCTACAAATAAAAAATATCAGTACCAGAGGTGGCTTTCTTTTCCCTTACCTGTTATAAAGTCTAGCTTGTTAAAAAAATTTCGAGTATTGGAAATTTATTTGTTAAGTCTCACTTAGAATTTTTATTTTGATAGGCTCAGTTCCACTAGAATACCTAACTGTGTATTAGAGGCTGAGCACTGAGCACTTGCTTCTGTCAGACAGTGACTGAAGATAGCAACTTATTTTAATGCAAAACCCACTGAACACTATTGAGAGTATGTAGCCAGCCACTGTGAGTTGATATTACAAATGGCATCCATAGAGACACAGGATGTAAAACAATGATCAATATCAATTAACAGTGGCTGGCTACATACTCACAATAGTTTGTAGGATTTTACATTCAAACAAGCTTCCATCGCTTGCCACTGATAGACAGAAGCAAATTTGCAGCCACTAACAGAAAGAAAGGAGGCTGAGTGGGACCAAGCTTTAATATAAAAGTTGCGAGTGAAACGCTAAAAATAATACATACATTTCATGCAATATTCAAGCAAATTTTTAAACAAGGTGAATTTTAAGACAGGAGAAGTGAAGCCACCTGGGCCTACTCAAATTGATTACATTTGCCCTATCTGTTCTTCTAGCATGAGGAATCCCAGGGGGAAGCATCTTTTTAGATGAGAGGGAAGATGATGGAGCAACACTTTCCTCTGAGCGCACTGTGCTCCATGTTTCCCGGTGGAAGCAAGCAAGGTACCAGAGGCTGGAGAGACGACGTCGCCAATTCGCTAAAGTACCGCTGAACCAGAGTCTGTTAACCGACCACTTCGAATGGGTTCTGGCATCCTGCATGGAGGTACTTGAGAAGGATGACGAAGTGAGATTCCACCTCTCTCTGGTAGCTTGCCCATCTACAATAGATCTATC